CCATTCCTATCCCAAAGTCTATTTCTGAAGAAATGTCTTAAGTCTTTTAGGTCATTTTAGTTTACCTTCCTTAAAAAAAAAAAAAAATGACATTCTGATATTTCCTCCTGGACGAACTAATTTGTATTCACCTATATTTCATTGTCTTAGTTTTGGTTTGGGAAAATAAAACTGAATGATCTTTATATTTTACACTGTACAAAAGATGCTTTGAACATGCTTTAAAACAGTGGTTCTTACCCTTTTTGAATCATATTCTCCTTGTACCCTCCTAAGAATCTCTGATTAAAAGACAGACACACTGCCCAGATGAATGTTTAAAACTGCATATATCTTCAGGGGAATTAAGGAACATTTTCCCAACCTCCTCTCTCCATTCCACTATAGATTTCAGGTGGTACAATTTCACTTCTCAGAGGGGAAAGGGAGTGATTCTGATGTTGATCTCAATTGGTTCACTTGAGGAAGTGAAAATTTTGACCTGCCTAAGGCAAAGTTGAATAGAAGAGGGACGATTATAATTCTTTACAAATTTAATCAGGCCACTAACAATGATGGCACCGTTTAGTAATAGACTTTCATAAAAGTCACAATTTATTTCAGTGGCAATGGAAAAAAATACGAATTTAACTCAGTGAGGAACTGCTTATTATCTATTAACTTAGGAAATACTAAAAAAAAAAACAAAAAACAGCTTTGACAAAGCTGAGATGAAAATGATACTCTTGACCAGCACAGGTGGTGATGAAAGTTGATAAAACATCTTTGGAAATCAGTTTCACAATTTGTAACAATCATTCACATTGTTAGACCCATTTCTAGAATTTTATTCTAAAAAAGTAATTTAAAGCATAAAAACAATGCACTTGAAAATGTTTGCTATAGTATTTTTTATAATGTTAATAAGCTAGAAAACTTAATGTAAAATAATAGAGGAATGATTAAATCATGGAACATCAAACACTTAATGGAATGCAATTAAAAATGGTGCCGAAGATTGTAACAACATGGAAAAATACTTTTGATAGAAAAGTACAACCATATGTGTATTTGTGCCACAAGTACAACTATGTAATAATTAGCTGTGCATTGAACAAAGACGGGAAGGAAATAAGAAAAAAAAAGCTGATACGTTAGAGCGGTGTCATTATAGATGAAATCTAGATATCTTTACTTGCTATTATTTTGTTCAATAATTAAAAATTTAGGCAGCCTTCTAATTTTATGAACTTATGAATTATGTTTTACATTGCAGGAACCGAGAATTTAAGTATTTGGTATGAAAATTATTTTTGCCCCAATGGATAACTATTGTTCCAAAATGATTTATTGAGTAGTCTCTTCTTTCCCCAATGATTGGAAATGCCACCTTTATTACATAATTTCCATGCGTCTGTTTCTGGACTCTGTACTTTGTGGTTTACCTCTGTGCCACTACCGCACTGTTTAAATTACCATGGTTTTATTGTATGTTTTGCTTTGTGATGGATAAGTTCTGATCCCTAACCCCACAGCTCAAGCATCATTCTTTCTCAAAAATCTTGTTTCTAGTCTTATGTATTTATTCTTCTAGATGAACTTAGAGTAAGCTTGTTGAGTTTCATTTGAAAATTTCAGTTTGGGTTTTGATTAGAATACATTAAATTTACAGATTAATTTGGGGAGATAATTTTGCCTATCATGCCTCTTATTGTTTCCAGAAGTTTCCAGAAGTGAAATACTGAGTGTTCTTTTATTTGGGATATAGCTAATTGACAGAGAGGTGATAACACATCTGTTATTTCTATGTGGAAGTGTAGTGATTCTGATATTGTTGTCAACAAATTCACTTATATAAGTTTATAGTTTTTTTTTTTTAATTAAACTAAATTTTTTTTTGGTGACATTGGTTAACAAAATCCAGTAAGTTTTAGGTGTGCAATTTAATAATAAGGCATATATTTATATATACATGTATATATATATATACATATGTATGTGTGTATATATATATATACACATATATATATATTGCATTGTGTGTTTTCCTCCTGTAGTTTCTTTCTGTCACTTCATAATTAACCCTTTTTACCCCATCTATCTCTCTCCTCCCGCCTGCCCCCCGCCTCTGATAACCACTAGTCTGTTGTCCAAACAGAGACTCATGGACAGGGACAAGTTTATAGTTTTCAATTGCTTAAAACAAAGTATGCAATCGAATCCAGATGGAGAAATGATGGAGGCACATTGGAATTCTGTACATTTGAATTTATTTTTGCCATTAATAAAATTAGTGGCCTTTTAAGAAGAGTAGCAGTTTTCAGTGGCTGCTATGATTATAAAGACCCCAGTCTTAGCTAAAAATCATCACCTGTGGCTGATTTTTTATGCAGTACTTTTTCTTGAGCACATTTTCAGAAGCCTGTTCCTCCTGCTGATCTCCTTTGTAGCTTTTTCTAACTTTTCTGAATGAAAGTGTTCTTTTGCATTTGTTTTCTTTCCCCCTCTTCCTCTTTCTCTCCTGCCAACTCCCTCCTACCCCATTTTTGTATGTTGGGTCTCTCTGTTGGTTTCTTTATCACCACCCGCTTCCCTCCTTCTCTTGTAATTACACCATGTCTTTCTGATCTCTTTGTGATTAGCAAATAAGAAACTCCTTTAATTGCTGAATATTATTCTCACTGCTAGGACTTCTGGGCATCTCTCTTTAATGGACATGTATTATTTCTGACCTGACTTGTTGTTTACCTTCTTTTTACCAAAGCATGATGTGGTCTTGAGAGGGAGGCATAACTGAATTATAAAAGCACTATTTTGGGTTGTATTGCATTGAAAAGGGTTTCTGTTAAACTCTTTCATAAGTTGCAGTCCTTGTTCACCCAACCAGATAAAATAGTAATATGATCCTTGTTTTGAATAGATACAGACTAGATATCCTTGTGATCTGTGAAAAACTTTAATCTGTTTATACAATTTATTTTTTATTTTTTAAAAAATCAACAGGTCAGGTCAGATTCTGTCCATGGATAATTAACAGCCCCTTTAGCAACCAGGAACATGACTAAAGCAAGCTGTTCTTCCTTTTTTAGGAAATGGAATTTCATCTAAGTTTCCTCTCTCAGTCATGTCAGACATTTGTTATTGTTTTTTTGCTTTTCAGATCCTCTTCCTGAACTTTTTTCGAAGCAATTATATGGTAGATTTTCCTTGACATGTTACTTTCTATTGATTATACTTGTGCATGTGCGTGTGCGTGTGTGTGTGTGTGTGTGTGTGTGTGTGTGTGTGTGAGAGCTCACATGCAAAGAGATGGCAATCAAAATTGGGAACCGATGTCTTTTTCCAGAACTCCACAATTTGTATTTATACCAATTCAAAATTTAAGATAATGTTTCGTGTGTGTCATGAATTGCAAGCCACTAGGAAAACATCACCTTTTCAATTTTTAAATTTTAGAAGAAATAACCTTATAGTTACTGCAAAGAGGAACTCCATACTGATTTTGTTTTTGATCCTAATTTGCCTAACTCTTGATGTCCTACTAATATCATGCTAATGTCCATCAAAGATGTTAAGGAGACTGTGTATACTTCTCTGTTCACTTTTCTCCCCTGTCACAGGGGAAGGAATTCTTGGAGGGTGGGTTTATTTTTGTTGGGCAGGCACATAAAAGCCCAGATGCTTCTCTACACTGGGCCCAGCGAGCTCTGGAGGCCCTCCAAAGTGGGCGACCCCTTCTACCTCCTGGTTTCCATTTCCCTGCCACTCCCATAGGCTGGGTAGAATGTACCCTCTCCCTGGAGGCCCCCTTTGTTTGCCTTTTTATATTTGAGAGGAGGGAGTGTCCCAAGTCCTTCAAGGTCCCAAGACCATTTGGCAGCTTGTCCATCACTGCTACTCCCTTGACTGTGGCACTGCTGATTTAACCCCTCTATATAGCCTCTGGAGGTAATATGCTGGAGAGTGCCAGCCTGCTGCTTGCTTCCTTGACATTTCCTCCTTCCTCAGAGTGTCCTTCGGTGACCCAACTGGGCAGCTGTTCTCCTTGGGACCAGCGTACTTCATAGGGCTTTGTGCCAAGCAGAAGCTCTCAAGAGAAAGTCTGAGGCCGGATGAGAGGGGACTTGGAAATCCCTTAGAGAAGACAAACAGTGATTGGAAAAGGCACAGCAAGCATGGGAGCATGTGGTGCTATTTATTTGGCAATGTTTGCGAATATTTAAGGTTCTTCCAACAGATTGTGATCCAATACAGGGTAAAGTCATAGCTTCAAAAGATAATTACTCTGAACCTGTATGCCATGATGATATCTCAGAGGAAAAAATTAATACAAGCAATGGTTCATCAAATAGGAATTCCAACAGAGTGAAAGACAAAGTGTCACATTCTCACATCTATTAAGTTAAAAAAATTCTTCCCTATGCTCCTAATTTCTTCAGCTTTAAAAATAACAAACCAGCTCTGACATGCATACTTCGATATATCAGAAGGCATCCCCCTGTTGTCCAAAATGATGTTGTTGGAAAGAAGGATTCATAATATCTGAGCTCGCTCACGTGAAGTGAAGATGACAAACCAACCTGTTTGAGACCTGGGTCCTATTTATTGCAGTTTCCTAGAGTCAAGATGAGGAAGTGTGACGATGCTCCAATTTATTCATTTTTCAGGGGCAGATGACAGTCTATGCGAAGTTTGGCAAAAATGTATATCTTCCTAAAGATGCCGAGTTTTATTTTATTTATAACGGATCTCATCAGAGGCACATTGTGATGGCAGAACGCATGGAGGATAACATTCTCCAATCCAGCATTCCAGGTGAGGTGTCCTTTTAACTGTGTAGTTGGGAAATCTGTCTGTAAGCATCTTCCTGCCAGGGATATAGTCCAGGAGGAGGACCACGAGGAGAAAGTAAACGGTGCTCCAAGGAGGGATGGGTGTGTGAGAGTGAGTGCGCCTGTGTATATATTAGGAAGAGCACTCACACTGGGTTATCTCACATCTAAGGTTCTTCCAGCTTGTCTGCAGCTCTCTGAGCAGCCTTGCCTTAGGCTCAACTCTCCAGGTTGGGTGTGCTTTAGATGCAGTCCAATGGAGGTGACACTGTATCTCAGGATCACCTCTAGTAGCCCCACCCATCCATTGCTAGGCATAGCTCAGGCAGAACTGAGACATTGACAGTTGTCTTTGTTCTCCCTTCCTCATTCCCCTGCGGTCAGTCCAGCAGCCCTAGGGGTCACTTCTCCCTGCTTGCTCCCTTTGATAGCTGGGGTTCTTTCATTGGTGCCCTGTTCATTCAGACACTTCCTTGCTGGACCTCAGAGTCCAGAACTTTCTCTTCCCATCACCAAAATGTTGACATTCTAAAGCCAGTATTTCTCCTAGATATCTTCTTTAATCACTGTGGTGACAAATGACAAATTAATGTATCATGTTAATGTGTTATTATGAGCTAATAGCCTCAGATATAATTGTTTTGTGTTTACACTGGGGTGTGGGTTGTGCATTGAGACATCAAGCTCTAGCCTAAAGGTGTAATTAAGATGTCATTACCTGCAGGAAGGGAGGCTTTTGTTGTTCTTGTTTGTTGATTTGCCAGTTTTCCTTAATTGTGGGTTTTTTTCTGACACTCATAAATTGTATCATATAGAGAACCATCAGTTTTTCTTATAGGTAATATTGACCTCATTTTCAGAGGAAAAATGTTGAGTGCTTCTGTAGTATATTCGTTATCTGCACAAAGAAGGTGACATGCAAATACAGGCATAGTTAGAACTGCGAAGATGTGCAAAGACCTTTCAGCCCTACCTGGGCTTGGTCATTGAGTCAATCTGTTGTCTAGTTTCTGAGACTAGGCCATTTTAACTACTTCTCTGACCCAGTAACTCCCATCCTTAGGAGAAAAAAGAGAAAGCCAAACCTCATTAATGGTGGAGAGTCACTTTGTTACTTTGGCTACTGGTCTCTCTGGCCTCTGCCTTTGTGCGTGGGCATTACATGTCCCCTGCTGTTAGCCTCTCCCTCTTGTCTTGGTCTTCACTTTTATGAAGACTTTTATAGAGAAATAATAAAAATAACTGAAGTGCCACTTCTAATATCAAAACTTTTGTCTTTTTACTTGCAAGTAGGGATGAACCTCCTTCCCACTCCCTATGTGTTAAAGAAAATCATTTTCATTATGTTGTGGCCTGCTTAGCAGTGAAGGTTCTTACCTTCATTTTAACAGATTCCTTACAGGCAGGTGACAGTTCTGTTTCTGAGCCTTTAATTTCCCTGGTTATAGCTTTATCAGGGTGACCTTTCAGAACCATGTAGAACAGATTTCTGTAATTATATATTGGATTTGCATAGTGTAGAGGTTGGGGCTGCATTCTGTGTCTGCACATTGGACTACTTTTAAAGAGGCAATATGTAAATGGCAGTAGTTCTTGCTTAGTAAACCTGGGATACTCTTGTCCCTTGAAGCCCTGGCACCATAGCCTTTGGGGAAAGGCTTCGGAGAATAAGGCAGAGATGACTTGTACCCGTTAGCCATTTGCTTGGGGGCCGGTAGTGGCTGAATGTTAACCCCTCTTCCGTACAGTTATGGTTAGCATAATCACAGAGGTTTGGTGGCACTAATTCCTGGAAATTCTCCAAGGGCAGCATGAAAATGTGCCTGGGTGAAAGTTCACCAACCTTGGCCAAATGAAAGAAGAGGAGTGTAAGGAGGGGAGAAAAGTATCAGGATTAGGTGATCACTCACAACAAAAATATTAAGAACATCTATGAGATAGAGAAGCCATTCTCAGAGTGGGAGGCACTGAACAATATAAATATTTTTGTTGAGTAGTCTTCACCCACCCCAAATCATATTCAGAGGAGTTCTATGGAATTAGGGCGACCTTCTGTAATTTTGTCGTGCCACTTTATAAAACTGTTACCTAAATAAATACATAAAGGTAGAAATACATTCAGGAAGAAATGACAAATTTGAATTCAGGGGTTGGAGTAGGTGTAAAAGGTGAAGGTTTGCCAAATAACATACCTGGTAATCTTAGGAGAATAGACGCTGAAGTGCTCAGAGCTCAAAAGGTTAGTTTTAAAATCAGGAGTCACTGGAAAAAGATGTAATCAGCTTTAATTTGGCCCCATAGGTTTGGCAGCATTTAAAAAAAAACTGGATGCCTTTCCTCTCTGCCTTGACCTCCTGGATCATATGGTCTGTTTAGGCAGCACAATGAGACCGGTGACCACTCGAGTTTTGGACACTGTGAGAGCATCTCCTGTAGACTCTGGGTGAACTGTTCGCTGTCTTATCATACAGGCCACGGACTTCAGGAGACTGTGACGGTGTCTGTGTGCCTCTGCTCGGAAGGTTACTCCCCGGTGACCATGGGCTCTGGCTCAGTGACATATGTGGACAACATGGCCTGCAGGCTGGCCCGTCTGTTGGTGACCCAGGCCGATCGCCTCACAGCCAGTAGCCATCAGACCCTGCTGACTCCGTTTGCCCTGACAGTGGAAGCGCTGTCCGCCTTGGATGAGGAACTCGTGCTGGCTCTGACCCATCTGGAGTTGCCTCTTGGGTGGACTGTCTTGGGAAATTCTTCACTTGAAGGTGGGTCTTCACCAGAAAATTTGCATGTCTCCTCTCTATGTCAAGTTCACAATCTGCCTTACAATTAATTGTCTGTTTTCCTGGGTGGGTTTTCCTGCCTACTTTTGACCCAAGCCTCAGTCCAACGTGGCTGGTTCCCGTGAGGATCCAAGCCACTCATCTCTGGGCTAGTTGACGCTGCTTTGCCTCAGGAGGGAGGGACTGCTCTTTGCGGCAGGCTCTCAAGTCAGCCTCTTTAGGCTGCAGCTCCACTTCGCTGCATGTTTTCTTGCTATGAGAAGGGGTGATTGCTGCTCTGTTTCTAAACAGATAGAGTCATCAAGGGCAATGAAGAGCATGCAGCCAACTTCTGCTTCCTGGCTATGAGAACTCCTGGGCAAGTTATTTTCGTTTTGATGCCACAAAGTTATAATTTATAAAATGAAGCATCATAGTAACTACTTCATTGGCTTCCAGTGATGGTTAAATTAGATAATATATGGCGAAGCTTCTAGAACAATGTCTGAATATACTAATTCTCAGTAAGGTGACTTTTGTGTGTATGCGAATGGATTTTTATATAGAGAGAGTGTATTATATGTACATACGCAGATTTGCAGTTGGTCTGGACAAATGAAGCTACAGACAAAGGAATAAAATCCTGGTATTGTAAACAATTCCTTGAAAATTTCTAGGAACTTTTTAAGACTTTCTGTAAGAACAGTTTATAGTACTGGAGGTAACATTGCCTGTAGCCTAGACTTATACCGGAACTTCTCTGCAACATTAGTGTTAAAGGACAGGGTTAGCACCCTATTTCCTTTTTGCTCCTCTGATTGGATGATTTCTACTGCCTTGTCTTCAAGTTCGCTGGTCCTTTCTTCCACTGACTGAGTCTGTTATTGAATCCTTCCATTGTGTTTTTCATTGCAGTTATTATATTCTTAAGCTCTATGATTTCTGTTTGGTACTTTTTAACATTTTCTGTCTCTTAATTGAAATTCTCACTTTATTTATGTGTTGCTCTCCTGACCTCAGTGATCATCTTTATGACCATTATTTTGAACTCCAACTCATCTCCATTTCACTAAGATCAGTTTCTGGAGATTTAGCTTTTTGTTTGGAAAGTATTCTCTTTTGTTTCTTCATTTTCCTTGACTTTCTGTTGGTTACTATGCATTAGATAAAATAGCCACCTCTCTGAGTCTTGACAGACTGATCTTGTGTAGGAAATGAACCTTCTCAGTTAGCCCAGCTCAAGCTTCTGGTTGCCTTTCAAACCTTTGTGATTGTCCAAGTTGCCACCTTTGTTCTTAGTGGCCCCTAGTACTTGAGGATATGTCAAGACCCATCAGTGTCCTGAAAGGGTGGATATCACTCAACACCTAGATTCGGGCTGATTAAAAGGCAGAAGCTGGGAAAGTATGCAGTCGAACCCCTTCTAGGGAAAAACTAGGAGATGGGCTATTTTTTTTTCTTCTTTTTGCTTGTTCCTGCTGTGTTGAACCCTAACGAGATAGCTGTAGTGGGTGCTCATGTGTGTACCCACCCATTAGCTGCTTCTTTATCCAACACAGTCCTTGTGAATGCAAGCCCCATTGGCTATCAGAGCCTGGTGATCCAAGAACAAGTTCCTTCCAGATATGCTAGTGATTTGGCTTTATTGTTGGAGTGAGCTGGAGTGAGAAGGTGGGAGGAAATGCTCACCAGCTCGTGTGGGGTCCAGCCAGCCCCTAGATGCATGCTATTTAGAAGCTGGACCCTGGGCAATAGCTTTTATGCAGCCAA